TATATATATATAAGTTATATGCATTATTTACGTTTGCAGACGACGGAGTGACCCTCAGGCGCGACAAGCCTCGTCCCCATTCTATGGAACTATTGGGCTCCGTATCTTCGGGTTCATATGATGTTACTTCAAGCGCGTCAACTCACCAAAAGATGAACGCCAAGACGCTGACACTTCAACGAGCGTCCTTTGCGAACTTGCCCGATGACGAGATAGCGGGTAAGATGATTGGCCGTAATCTAAATGAGCTCACAGCTGATGCCCAAAGTGATGCAAGACTCTATCTCACTCTTTTGCCGCCAAGCACAAGCGACGGAAGCGCTGCGAACGTTACCACTGGCACCGCGTCAGAAGTATCTTCGAAAACTCAACTACAGCATCTCACGGAACGCAATCTACCACCACACGCCAACTCGTCTTCGTCTGAGACGGCCACTAACAGGACTCATGACAATAATAACCATAATAGAACCGGCAACAAAAGCGATACTATGAGCAGTGCCGTTAACAATAAAATCAATGGAGCTAACGAAAAGTTAACAAACAAACGTATCAACGAAACTCGGATTGCCGCACGCTCAGCAGAACATCAGGTAAGTTGAATCAGTCGTTTTGCTGCACAGTCACCTATAAAATATCATAGGAAGGAACCTCCTAACAGATTAACTATTTAGTGGAAATAAGCGATGCTTAAAACCCAATACTTCCAATCGATTTAATCTTCTTCGTTGTAAAATAGACTGGTATAGTATACTGGTATAGCCAAGCTGCGATGCGAATTTTCGTATGGCCAATTCATAGAATTTTCGGAATCATGGACTTCACTGAAGACGCAAGGACCCAACGAAAAATTACCTAAGCTCCTTCTTTTCAGCAGAACGTTAGGGAACGTTGTGTAATAGTTTATCATTTGAGTTGAATTAGTTCGGTACACAGAAAACAAGATATGGCATTATGTGGTTCTCCAAGCAAAATTATTTACATATTTGCACGACTAAACAGCTGGTCGTGACTCTTCTCTCAGATGCTGAGAAACTATTCTGTCAAATTGTTGAATTTTCCTTTGTAAAAAACCTTTGTAAGTTGAGTTTTCGCAAAAAAAGACGTAGCTTTTAACATGTATGAACTTCTATAGGGGTTTTCTTTAGGTGATAACATGATTATTGTACGGTCCGGGCACGACCGACTCGTTATGAGTCCTCTGCTCTGCAAACCGCTTAAAATACGTAGCATAGAATCATCCGCTTGCCAGGCTCTGGCAAGAAAAGTTATTGCGTGAGTCTATAATATATGACAGAACTACAAAACCGAAACGCGGTACATAATCGACAGTGACGCCGAAAACAGTCTGAATGACACTTGTACATACTAAACCAGAGTCATTTAACGGTCGGCTTCGTGAGGACATCCTGGCCCTAATTTTGTCGGCTGTGTAATACTCACCTTCTCACCGTATTTAACTGTGGAAGATCATAAAGGCTGCTGAGAAGTTTAGCTTGTCAAAAGACGAACGCGCACGATCCGAACAAAGGTGTTCCTTCGCCCTTTTTGCGCCTCAAATGGTCTCGTTATGAGTACTAAGCGGTTATTTTGGCGTCAATCACGGGGGGACTATAGAAGCTTGTGCAGTTCGTGCCGTCAAGTAATTTTGCACCGCAATGTAAGTTTTGCACAGTTTAGTGCCTATGGTGTTCCTAAAGCACGATATGGGATCAGGCCCATGACGTGACCCGACCCAGATGTGATGAGTGGTACGATAGTCGGGCGAATGATTTATACCAAAATCTAGCAAACGTTCTTCGATCCTCAACAGAATAGTGGTACATTGATCAATTTCGTGTCGGTTCAACATAGGATAGAACTTGTTGTTAAATTGATTCGGAGTTTTCATTTTAATCCGATTTAGTATAGTTGCAGTAAAAAATAAGTATGCTTTAAATAAAAGTTTGGTTTGAACCTTATATGCCAATATCATCGGTCTGCTATCACCACGTGAAGAGTAGATATCAGTATTTTTTTATCAGAGAACTAGTGACCACAAGTCCACTTCCAAGAACATTCCTGTGGTTCTGTCAGCGTCATGACGTTCGTATAATGTCAATTAGCTGCGGCGCACTTTATCTTCGAATCTGTCGTTGCCTTTAGATAGAGCGGCATAGTAATATTGTCCATGTGTGCACGACTCTATGCATGCTCGTGCACAGCTATATAGTCACTGGCAAGTACGTAAGGAAGCGAAAGAAGCTCGATCAAAATTAGGTATTTTACTGTCGCGTTTTTTGTTTTTTTACGATTTTCTGTAGAGTCACTGGTTCCATTGAGTCAGCGCTTTCCTTACTATATGTACTAATATTTACGTGGCAATCGGCTGCATTGTCTTTGTCGCTGGCGGTAAAATTGACTTCTACGGGGTAAAGAAAGCTCGAAGTTACACCATTAGATTTTCATTACTCATAAGCGAACAAATGGACTGTGTGCCACCCTTAAAAATTGAGCATTTTTTGCGTAACACTAACTTTGCAAAAGTTACACTAACTTTAATCTAATATTCCTACTAAAATATGGAGAGTTTTACATATATTAAAAAAAAAACTGCATTTTTTTTTACTCTTATAGGCTCCTGTGTGTTATTCTGTCAATTATGAGTATATAATAGAATTTCATAAGACCACAGGATTATAGTCAGTTTGGTCTACATTAACATAGTGTACACGTAAAAAATACTTGGGCGTATTGACATTAGCATTTATCTATATGATGGTATCATGCAATAACCTCTATCGTCAGAACGTACCGCACGTCTGCTCCGGCCGGACAATGGGATCATCTTTTGGCTAAAGGAGGCGCCAAACATATTTTAGGTAGAAGGATGGGTAGCTGATTCCTCTTGGTCAGAGTTTTCTAGCACAGTGTCGTAGGTAATGCTGATGATTACGTATCCGTTGCAGCTCAGTCTCACACGGGTCACAGCAGGTCAATCTAGCATTTGCCGTTGATAAGCGAGTTGTTACGGTACGAGAGTACGGTACGGTCGAAAATATACGCTGTCTATACAGAAGAAATAGAAGAATCTTATCTACGAACATCTCCGTATGATGTTGCTTTGAATTCTAGGTTCCGCCCTCACGCGATCATTCGATGGATCATCCTGTCCTCATCGTCGGAGGGGCCACCTTCAATCGATCTCGACCTGACAAATCTGCCACTCTTGGCCATATGACAGGCCTTAACAATCATCGCTCTTATTACAGTCAATATCCGTCTCTTAGCTGCCTCGTTGATGTCAGCAGTGGCAGTGGACATATCGCAACAGGCAGGCGCGGCTGTCCCACTTCTCAAGCAACTACTTCCAACGGCGTTAGTCAGCAGAAATCTGCCCCCCAGAATTACACCGGCTTCACACAGACCTGTCCAGTAGCAGGACTCATAATGTCATCTGCGGCTACAAAAAATTCGTCTCGAGTTACTAATGGTGCCGGCCACGGCAGCGCTTTGACTTCCCGCTGGGGGGCAACGAGAACATCAGCTGCGACCCAAGTTACAACTCCAATGTCACCCACCCGCACGCATTTGGCCGTCGGCACCACCGTTCACAATCAAGCCTATAACCACGTTTCTCACCCAGCTCAACACCAGCAGAAGCAACATCAACATTATAATAACAACAATAAGAGCAATAATAATAATCCTTCCCGATTCGTCAGCTACATTTCTGTTGGTAGTGGCGAAGCTAAATTGTCCCCTTCGGAAGTAATGCCCACTAGCCGTTCCATTAACAGTGGCAAACCCGATCAAATTCGCTGTCAACTACGCCAATTTCTAGGCGCTGCCAGTCAAAAAATGACTCCGTTAACGCGAACGCCGGCTCAATTGCACAAAGTGAATTATGAGGGGATTCGGCCCCATACGGAAACTATTTCCATCCACCAGGGGGGTGATAGCAATAACAATTCTTACCGAACGGCCTCTTGGTGCTAAATGCTCGAAGGCTTTTTTGGCGAATTGATGGTCTACGCATTGCCTTAGATGGCAAATAGAAAGCATTTTGAAACTAATTTTGTGTAGCCTTTGCGAATTAAAATTCGTCTGTCGCTGAAATTAATTCAGTTCGAATACGATTTAATTTTAAAACCTTGTATGCTTGAGACTTCGCTTCACAGTTTATTTCATATATTCTATGGGTTCAGTAATTAGGTAGTACTAAGAAATGAAATTAAAAATCTAAAAAAAAACAAAAAAAATAATAGTATATA